TGTTCTCTCGTGACAGCGCATGCGCACGTCACGCGCATCGTCATACGTCATGACGCACGCGTGTACGTTCTGCGCATGTGCGGCCACGCTGGAACACAAACAATCTTTATTGTTCCATATACACAGTAACATCTGGACGTCCTACACCAAGAACGTTCATAATTAATGCATAAACTGTGTTTACATAAAAACCTGACGGCTGATTCAATTTCTAACATATGTCACATACAAATATATACATTATAAATGTGGCTTCATGGGGAAGAAGAAATATATTAAAAAGAAATTTGTATATACAAAACAAAAATTACAGAAAATCATAATAAATATGATAGAAAAAGGTGCATATAGCACATATAAAAAAAAAATGATGATCTATCAAGGATCTATTCGAAAACAGGAAGGGAATGAAAAATCACTAGAAGCACATTTATATATAACATGAATAAAATGGATACAGTATACATATAAAAACAAGTCCCATACAAGGATATCCAAGATCAGATGAAAATAATGGCAATAAAGAGACAGATAATATATCTATAAAAAATAGATCTATAAAAATGATGTTATGTCCATAAAAATAGATAGATATACATAAATAGAATGGGGACATCTATAATAAATCTTAAATGACAACAGGGGCAAAGGTATTCGGCATCATAAATATAAAAAATATATATGTAAAAAAAAAATATATATATGTATATATATAGAACGGCATTCATTATTTGAAAAACATTTGTTAAAAACATTTATTAAGGAGACCATAAACAAATCTGGAAAAATACCTATATTAACAAAATATATAATAAATATTGATTTAATTTATTTAAAAAATATTTTAAAACCAAAATAGCATAAAAATGAATAACTTAATCAATAAAATATAGATATACATAAATAGAATGGGGACATCTATAATAAATCTTAAATGACAACAGGGGCAAAGGTATTCGGCATCATAAATATAAAAAATATATATGTAAAAAAAATATATATATATGTATATATATAGAACGGCATTCATTATTTGAAAAACATTTGTTAAAAACATTTATTAAGGAGACCATAAACAAATCTGGAAAAATACCTATATTAACAAAATATATAATAAATATTGATTTAATTTATTTAAAAAATATTTTAAAACCAAAATAGCATAAAAATGAATAACTTAATCAATAAAAGATAAATTATCCAAATCTGTATTAAGACCTGAGGGAACAGAGGATTTCATTTTATATATCCATTCTGTTCCCTTTTTGCTAACATCTTTTCAGTATCTCCCCCTCTCCAGTGTGGTATAACTTTATCAGTCCCTATACAGATAAAATCCTTAAAATCAAAATCACTGCACTCATTACAATGTCTGGGAACACTATGTTTTGTATTCTTATTTTTAATACCATTAAAATGTTCGAGTAGTCTTATATGTAGTTTCCTAATTGTGCGTCCTATATACTGGACGCCACATTTACATTGTAGCAGACAGACCACAAACTGACTTTGACAATTGATAAAGTGCTTAATCTGAAAAGTTTCTTTGGTTACTGAACTACAAAATTCTGTTACCTTATTTTTCTGGAACTTGCATGTAGTACATCTCCCACACTTAAAAAAACCTTTAGGTTTTTCAGCTAAAAAATTAATACCACTTTTGTCAACCTCCTTTTTAGGTAAAATGCTGGGGGCTAAAATACTTCTAAGGTTGTTAGACCTCTTATATAATACCTTAGGTCTCTTAGGTAAAATGTTCTTTAAAAACCTATCCTGTAATAAAATAGGCCAATTTTTGCGGATTGTTCTCTCAATTAAATTAGCTTTATTATTAAATTTAGTTAAAAAAGCGAATTCGAACACATTAATGTCAGCTTTCTTTTTACTCTTATGCTGGACATCAATTAAAAGATCTTTTCTTTGGAGACTTTCTACCTCCTTTTGTGTATTACATAAAAGTTCACTAGGGTAATTTCTATTGACAAATTTCTTATTTAAAACTTGAACTTGCTCTCTAAAATCCTCCTTTTCTGTACAGTTTCTAAAGATTCTCATGTGCTGTCCTTTAGGGATATTAGTTAACCAATTGCGATGATGACAACTGGAAAACTCAATAAAACCATTACCATTCGTAGGTTTAAAAAAGGTTTTACTAATAACTTTTCCTTCCTTTATGAATAAGGTGAGATCTAGAAAATTAATAGATTTTTCATTAATATCTAACGTAAATTTAAGACCATAAACATTAGAATTAATGTACATTAAAAATTCATCTAGGCAACTTCTACTCCCTTTCCAGATAAAAAGAACATCGTCTATATAACGCCTCCATTGCACCAGGCTCGCACCAAACGGATTATTATGCCATATATTGTTCCGCTCCCAATCCGCCACAAAAATAGTAGCATAACTTGGTGCGAACCTGGTGCCCATTGCTGTTCCACATGTTTGGCGGTAATAAGACCCTTCGAACCAAAAATAATTGTGAAATAAAATGAACCTAATAAGATCCAAAATAAAAGTGGCTTGTTCTGGATTCATCTGGGGATCATTAAACAACATATTTCGTATTGCCTTCAATCCTTTTTCATGGTCTATCACAGTGTATAAAGATGTTACGTCAATAGTTACCCAAAGGTACTCATCTTTCCACTCCAGACCTTTGAATTCTCTAATAATCTGGGTGGAATCTTTGGTATAAGATCCAGTTGTAA